ATGAAATTCAATATTCTACTTTTGATCTCCCTCTTACCTCTTACAAAACTACATAGCATCATAACCCAGACGACACTTGCCATGAAAAATTCAAATCCCAAGTACGAAGGTCTTTAACTTGAACATGATAAACTGAATGTGTAAAATATACCTGTTCTACTAGCTGATAAGCAACTGGTGATCCTGGGTCATTCCTGGTATCAGATGATGCAGTAGCTTCAGAAGATTTGGTAGCCAAACTCGTTGCAGCAGAAACCACAGAAACTGATTTCTTCACATCATCTTGCTGGTCTTGGGCTGTGTTGGTAACATGGCACTGTGATGTATCAGACATGGTAACATGAATCACCTGCCGTGTAGCCAAGCTGCCTGGTTTAACATGTCTTGGTTTAGAATTGCTCACACTGGACTGACTGACCTGCAAATGTATTTTTATATACAAACTCACACATACACGTGGCGCAGCCACTGAAGAGGAAATGTGAACTTACCCTCCATCAGATTATAAAATGAGGAGTGCATAAACAAAGTTTACACATATGGAGAATTTTCCACGCTTAATCAGCAACGTAAATGTGCTACAAATTATCACATGCAGGATCATGCGACAAGTTCAGGCAAAAGAATGCATGCAGTTTTCCTGGCCAAAGACCATCCATAAATTACTATCTATGAAAATTAATATGAGATATTGTAAAAACAATCTTCTTTTAACAAATAAACCTGCTCTCCTAGCTAACATTCGTAATTCTCAGAGAGATGAGGAAACTCTCGTCTCTCTCTTTTTTTAAAATCTGTTTCTATTCAACCCACTCAGATAACATTTTGATTGCTACAGTGCTCACCACGCGAACTTTCAATCAAGCCATCGGCCACTGACATTTATCAAGAAATAAATTAACTATGATAATTTAAATTTGGTACGGTGCTAAAAGCAGCTTCAAGAAAGATGTGTGTGCAAGTGTATGGAACTTGCCTTCCCACCATGAACAGATTAAACAGCAACATAAGAGAGCAGGTAGAAGATGCATATGAGTAAGTACCAATAGGAAAGAAACATGAAACCACGTAACTGTCACAGTATGTCACAGTTTTGGAGATGTGTTTGAGGTTATGCTCACTTGGAAGTCTGGAGGAGGTGGAGCATGCCTCTTCCCTGAACTAGAACACAACTTGGCCTGTCTTCTTTGTTCTGCCAGATGCAACAACAACTCTTGCCGGTCTGAAGCAAGGCACCCACCACTATGTATTTGCTCACCATACAGAACTTCCAAACACCCACCTAGGAACTGTACCCAGTGTTCAGCACTAACCTACAAACAAAACAACACTTATACATTTATTTTTTACAAAATACGATGACATAGCATTTAATTATTATTTATAACAATTTTTAAACATAGCAAAAGATTTTATCTTTTATAAAAACATGTCTTAATCTTAGCAAGAACACTCTCGTGTAAGAAGACAACATAGATGCAATTAAATTTTAACTAAACTGTACTTTTCCCTCATCACACCTTGGTTAAAACAAAACCCAGTTCTATCATAAATATTGTAAAAGGGTGACATTACAGCCAAGTTCTCCTACATTTGCACAAGAGCAGTGTAGGTGCCCTCTACGCAAAACAATGGTTTTGGATTGTTCCCAACTGGCAGGTTACTGGCCAACTTAATTTCCAGACCTGTTACATGAAAATCTGCTTTTTTAGAGCCAATAAAAAAACTTGTAGACAACTGTAATAATGCTTACATAACTAATTAGGTCAGCTCATTTCTGGTTTTATCAGACTGACTGAAATAAAGCAGAAGTCACATTTCTCAAGACAGCACACACAGATATCAACTTACACTAAACTTTGGAAGCCCAATGGTTACTACATGTAATAATCAACAACTCCTCTTTTAACCCACATGAAGTACTTATGGGTTCTGTAATCTCAAACCTATGTTAATTTGTAACATTAATTTTAACTTTAACTTTCAATCAGTTTTAATTCAATCTTAATTCTTAGTTGGCAAACAATATATAATTGAGCTGAAGACAGTATGTTAACACCAAAACTTGTCACCAAGATAAAGAACTAATTTTAGGAATAGTTTAGGTGTGTAGAAGGCCTCAATTAACATATAACATAAAAGTAACACACTGGAATGCTTGCACATAAGATAGCACAAAGTGTTCATTTTGGGAGCATTATGCACAGAATGCATAACAACAAACTCCTCAAAATAAAATAATATAGTGCAGCCATCAATATACAAAAGACACAACCTCTATTCAAAAATACTCTACAACATTAAGACATGAGTCCCTGTGAGGCTTCATGTACTTAAAATATGTTTTACCTGAATAGTTTTAACATAATTTGAAGGAACATAGCCAACTTGTCCTTTAGAATTCACCACTTGCCACCAGTTTCGTTGCTTTGTGTTTACTTGATGAAGAATGAAGATATCATTTTCTCGAAAGCTAAGAGTCTTGGCAAATGTAGCTTTAAAGTCATAAAGAGCTTTCAGCATTTCAAATAGCTCTGCAAATAATAGTAATGCAAGTTAAAGACAGATCATTTGATTCTAAAACATATACCTGCTTCCCTTATACAGAACATTCGCTGATAAAGTTGAATGCAACTGTCACTTTCCAGCTAGAACTACATGAATAACTGCCAAGTGATACAATGGTTATCCTGATATCATTCAAGCGTCGCTTTATATAATTAATAAAAAAATTGTCTACTTTACAGCAGTTCCTGCTAGAAGCAAGAACTGACTACTGCATTATGAGTAAAGACACTAAAAATTCTTTTTCCATGTTCATAAACATTGTATCTTATTTTACTTTTGTGAATTACAAAGATAAAGAAAGTGGAATGTATAAAATAACGTTAAGTACCAGTTGAACCAAGGGTATGACCACTCAGACTCAAAGGGAAATTAATCAATTTTTGCACAAAACCAAGGAAGGGGTAGTACAGTAGTTGTCAAAAGTAATGTAATGTATGGAGAGTAGACATTTCAAGATTTCTGACAAAATATACCACAAATCACATGTTAACTACCTCTTCAACTTTCTAGTAATGGAATTAATTTGAAGATGACTGTCTTCCAGGACGGTGTGCCACGTACTGTGGTCAAAGTTGACCATGTTTCAGAGCTGGAGGCAGCAAGAGCCTATGAAATATATTCCAGCCAGTGAAACAAAATTATTAAAATGCGAAACAACACATCTGTATTGGCACAGACGTTTCTGAATTGTGATTAGTAGATCTGATGTCTTCTGAGCACTCCCTCTGAAATTACATGGGGAATTTCCATTTTGAGGTTTTCATGGGAGCAATGCCAGCATAATGGTATAATGAGGGGTGCTGTATCTGGATGTAACTGTACAAAATAGCGTAACTCCCTCATGCCCCTTACATAAGAGGCCCAACCACAAGCGTCAAAGAGATTCACTCAAATCTTTTTATTTATATCATGAAAACATCCAACATATTGTCAAGCTCACAGAGATCACATGCTAATTAGAAGGGGGAGGTCCACTACTCCTACACCAAGTCGATTTATTATCAGTGACGTACAGTCTTGCTATCAAAATAGTACACATGTATTACTGTACTTACCCCCTCTCCCGTTAATTTCTGTTGTACTTTCACTCATTTTAAGAAATGATTATATGCAGAGAAAGTATACTCTATACGACATTCGATTTGCCTTTCTATAAGAATGTAACATATTGTACTGTTTCATTCATTAAAAATTAGAGACATCGAACTTGATATACTCTTACATGATTGGGGACCATTTTTTTTTACTGACACTAAATAAAAGTTTTAGAAACTCACAACAAACTAACTACACACACACCACTAATCATACAGATTCACACTACAATCTATTGCGCACGTGAGTAGCGAACATAGATAAATACCAACATAACAAGCTTCCAGTTCATAGCACAGGTGAACAAAAATAATAAAAAGTCAATGCTAGTGTTTAAGTCACAGACGATTGCTACTGATATCATAGTCGTGAAAACCTCAAATCACAATTAACAAAAAATATACATTTTTAGAATCCAAATCAAGAAAGTGGCACAAAAATGAGTTTCTTCAACCAATGCAAAGCGTCATTTGTCCACTGGCGGATGTCAACCATCACACCACAGTTCTTGGGACACGTAAGAGTGGGAAAGAACAGACCTTCGAAGATTGGTCATACTGTATACCCTTCAAAATTAGTTTGTGATACAGCTGGTCGGACATGGGGTGGTGATGTGTGTTGTATTTACATTGAATATAATGATACACCAACTACATTTCACGTGTTTGTAATGTGACAACTGCTTTACGCGTAATGGCATATCAAACATTCCGACAAGAATACATGCAGATGCCTGTTGTGACCAGAGCGTACACAACGGCATGCGTTATTACGACATTGGCTGTGGTGTGTGTCGAATTTTATCGTTTGATTTTGATTAATTGTATATTTACGTTTTCAAATAATGTCAGTCAGAATACTAATGTCCAACATGTCTTTTCAGCAATTGGACCTGGTTTCACCATTTCAGCTGTATTTCAACCCAATATTAATTGTGGAACAATTCCAGGTATATAGTTTGCGACGGTTTATAATATTGGGTAGGGTTCTTCACGTTGCCAACGACTTATAACTGCACACACGTAATTATTAAAATAATGACTCATTCAGAAGAGTTTATTGTGCCATATGTAATAATTCTATAAATTGAGCGTACAGAAAATGCTGATAATTAGAAGTTGGCACAGCATATGTAGCTTATCAGGTTAGGTGTTACCAGAAGTTTATTCATTTTTCTGCAGCCAAGGAAGTTGAGCATTTATTTTTGATTGTTGTCTTCTGGGTTGTCATTATGTAGTCCTGTAGGTGGTTATCAACTTTCAAACAACCTGTTACATCCATCATCCAGGTATAAAAGAATCTATTTGGAATGTGGGTCAGCAAAATATGAATGGAGAAGGGAGGGAGAGGAAACGTTCTGAAAAGGAAATATTGTAAGGAAAGCCCTAAAACAGGTATTCTTCAGTTACTTCCTTTGTACAATGTGCAGGCATAATGGAACCTTGAAATAACACATCCAGTTATACTGCAGGATTGATATTGTTACCCAGTATGATTACATATTTATACTTTATTTAGTAACTTTTCAGTAGCTCAGGCTATATAGCATCAAATGAGAGGATGGTAGTGAATAATGAATTGGAAAGGATGTGGAAGGATGCAGTCACAGCTTATTTTAATGTACTATCCTGGCATTTGCTTGGAGGTACAGAGGAAAACCATGAATCCCAGTCAGGATAGCAGGCCTCCGGGCTAAGATCTGAACCCAGGACCTCCCAAACACGAAGCAGGAGTGTTAACCACTCTACCACAACATTTGGTGCATGTATGTCATACAAATTTCTTTGCAATGTTTTAGTAACATTTTAAGACTTGCTGTAATGTGCAGATACAGAGGTTGAAGTCCATAGTCTGTTATGGATAGTTGTATATTTTTGGTTTCCTTTAACTTGGGAATATCTGATCAAACAGCAGAATTTAATGAGCACCCCATTTGGTTGTGACAGGAAGAGTATTAATGTTCACTTGCTAATTATTTCACCTCCTCTGCCAATAGTTGGAAGTCCACTGAGCTGTTGGAGAGCACAAGTTTCAAAAACTACCACACTGTAGGTGTACTGATTGTTTATTAAGAAGTGGGTTGTGCTAAGGTGATGATAACCAGAAGAAAAAATTATATAATCATAGAAAAATTATCAAAGTAGTTCCTACAAAAACATAGTGAAAGAGTACGCAGCAGTTCATTTCAACAAACTGCATTACAGGGATGAGACATTTAAAGTTACTGATTTTGGAGGTGGAAGATTTGATGTGGGACATGCCAGTTTACCATAGAAGGTGAACCTGCGTCTGGTGACAGTGCAGCGACAGACGTTTCCTGAAACTCTTAACATGAAGCGATTGCAGGTGGTGGGTATACTGATGAACAATTGTACAACTGTAATGAAACAGCACTCTACTACAAACTGCTTTAAAGAAATCTTGTAGATTTTAAAAAAGCACCCAGAGTATGAAAACTAACAAAGAAAGAGTGACATTGTTGCTGTGTTCCAGTAAGGCTGGCGATCACAGGCTGAAACCACTGTGCATCAGTTTGTTTCAAACATAACCATGAATTCTCAGTCTGTGATCTACAAAACCATTTCCCGTGCTACAATGACACATGATATTTATGCCTCCTGGTTGGTTTGGAATGAGTTCATGCCATCTGTGTTCCAAGAAACTTGAAGAAAAAGCTTTGTTACTGTTTGATCACTGTCCAGCCCATCCTTTTGTTGATGTCCTGAAATTGAAAGATGCAAAGATTAAGGGTGTTTCTGCCAGAGAATTCCACTGCGCTGATTCAACCAATAGATCAAGGCATCATTCGATCCTGAAAAGCCGTATCATGGTGAGCTGCTTGGTGGAGTTGTAACCTCTGAATTATGAGTTTCTGAAAACATTAATGCTAAACGATATTGCATACAGTGTTGGGTTTGTCTGGTGGAAAATGAGAAACTACTGCTGAAGTTGCATACAGTGCTGGGTTTCTTTGGTGGAAAATGAGAAACTACTGCTGAAAAACGTGTACTGGAAAAGATGACATCGTGGTAGACGAGATGAAGTTGATTCCATTTTCACAAGACGTGAAAGCTGCATCTAATGCACTCACTACTAATGTACAAGCAGATCTGGTGTCTTGGATCGAGGTTGATGAGGAAAGTCCAGTAACACAGCATTTTATTGAATAGTTTATTGCAGCATCCATGAAAAATTAAAAGACAACTTGGGGCTAGTGACACAGGAACTGACTCAGAAGACGATGATGATTCATGTGAAGTGGTGGTACCAAATTTAAATGCTAGAAAATATTAATGAAGTGATATTAAACGCTAGAAAATATTAATGAAGTGATGGCAGGTTAGAACAACAGACTTATAATGAACACCTTCATCTGCTGCATCTGGTTAATATTAAGCAACATGTTCTGGCAAAATTAAATCGCCAGTTCCGACGAACATTACACGACTATTTTTGTGAGGAGGTATAAATTAATTTCCTGTGGTCTGTGCCAGTAGCAGTGGCCTTAAATCAGGAATAGCTTATAACACAGATACTGAAGCTTCCCTTCAAATGAATTTTCTTCTTCTCCTTTTTCTACTCAGCATACAGGTTGTTCAGTTGATTTACCAATCTTTTACTTTTTTGGAAGAAAATAATGACAGTGAACGACAAACATCACGTACATATTATATGTAATTTAAGATTTGCAGGGTATTGATGGTACATATGAGATACTACAATGCTGATTGGTGCATTATTTTTGATCATCATGTTGTATATCTGTGAATGTTTTCAGCTATGGCGACTGGTAACTACCTTCCTGTTTTTTGGAGCTGTGGGTTTCAATTTTTTCTTCAACATGATATTTACGTATCGATACTGCCGCATGTTGGAGGAAGGTTCATTCCGAGGACGTACCGCTGATTTTGTAATGATGTTCCTCTTCGGAGGAATATGTATGATTGTATCCTTGCGTTTTCAGGCATTATTCCTTTGTGACCAAACTGAAAAGTACACATACATGAAACCATAATCTTGCGTTTAATAACCCATGTCTGAATCTGAAGAATGTGGAAAATGTTATGAACATTTTTGTTCACAAGATGCTCATAACGTAAGAAACGTTTTGATAAGGACTGGTCTTCTGGTTGACACCATAGTGTTGTCATTGGTTACTCCTGCAACACTAAATTGTCCACATTTTCACTGCCATGAAAGCCATAAATTTAAAATATCTTGTTTCTGGTACACATTTGTAAAACATCAAGAGAAACTAGTGCAGAAATTTGTTATTTGTAGTATTATATCAAAATATTTTCCTTGACGATCAGATGCAGATGTTTGCATTCTTTGTAAATCTGTTGTTCCTTGGCCAAGCATTTACTATCATGTTGGTGTATGTGTGGTCTCGTAGAAACCCTTTTGTGAGAATGAATTTCTTTGGACTGATCAACTTCCAGGTATGTATACAAAACAGACATTTTCAGATATGTACAAATTTTAAACCAAGATACTTTCTTACGTATTCTAAACTCAGTTAACCTTCATCCGTGCATTGTGCTGTCAAGTGTGGTCCAGCTGGATCTGCGTCACCCTATCATACCAGTATTCGGAGCCATTTTATAGTAGTAATAACACTAATTTTGTTCATAGCTCTGTCCAGTATTCTATTATTATGATTTATTTATGATTAAAAATGCTGTGAATGTTATTTTTTACCGAGAAATTAAGTTGCTTTCCTAACGAAAAAGTCCGCAAGTCCAGGTACAGACATTCTGTCAATACCATTGTAATACCATAACTAGGAAAATCCTGAAGTTAAATTCTGGCCAGCAGTCTGGTATTCAGGCATTAAACAACCTATTCCTGTACAATAAACACAGGCTGTTGGGTACGCGCTAGAAATATGTATAAATATTGAAGTTTTATACTTTATACAGACTTCACATTAAAGAAACCTAATTATTCCTTGCAATATGTTCTTCACCGACTATTCGGCTATATATTTTGGAAACAGGACACCGAGTAAGACTGCCATGAACATTACTTTTTATATGGGTATCTCAATATGTTGAACCTCCCACATATGATCACTAACAGAAGGAGAAGTGATGTGATTCCTACCACCTGTTATAATTTCAGGCACCGTACTTACCGTGGGTGCTTCTAGGATTTTCTGTGCTGTTAGGCAATGCAATTTGGGTGGACCTTGTGGGCATGGCTGTTGGACACATGTATTATTTTGTGGAAGATGTGTTTCCAAATCAACGTGGAGGGTTCCGTTTGCTCAACACGCCACAAATACTGTAAGTGTTTAATCACATATGAAATTCAGGTTTAAATTCCATTGTGCTTTTGCAGTAACTGCACAGGTATTTAACGTGTGCAAGTTATTCCATATAGATTTCTGTGTAAATTCCAGTTACAATAATTTCTACAAAAATTATACGATTTCTAAATTGCATAATTTAAATTACTGCATGTAAAAGTACTGACAAAACAAATTCAGTGATAAGCCCCTTACTGGCCATGTATATTAATTAACTCTGCTTAGCAATTATAATTTAAAGAAAATTTAATTACTTCCTTTCCCAATGGATTAAGTGTTTCTTCATCTGTTTGACTGAAATGTAAATATACAAATTAAATTTAATGTGCTCAGTTTAAAGGCAGGTTTGAAAAAATGTTTCCCTTCCTTTCATGTGATGGAATTACACATATAAAAATGTATTCCTGTAAGAATTTAGGAAGTACACTGAGAAAGATTAATTCCATCTTGCACTGAATAACTTTGCTTAAAAAGATTAACAGGTATGCACTTTGTTACGCCTCATCTGCTAGTAGTTATCCATGGAAATACTGAACAAATTAAAAGAGTTTAAAAGTGTTTTAATTCCAATAAACCAACGACCACATTCTTTAGATGGTTTTAGTTTATAAACTTTGGAACCGACAATTGATTTGTAAGGATATCAGAATTTAGAGTTCTACAAATTAAGTAATCACAATATATGATGCTCTTGCAGTTCAGGTATGCCAATAGGCAAAAATATACCGTAATCACAATATATGATGCTTTTGCAGTTCAGGTATGGCAATAGGCAAAAATATACTTATATTGGCAATACTGTTTTTTTTAGGAAATCTCTATTTGACGCTCACCCCCAGGACCCAGACTACACGCCCTTGCCTGAAGATCGACCCGGTGGCTTCAACTGGGGAGAACGCCCCCAAAACCAACAGTGACAAACGAGTGTAAGAGACGGAGGCTGCTGTTGGCCTGGCGAGATTGCCATGGATGGAAATAATGTACAAAAAGATATTCCATCCACTTACTTACATCAGTGTTTCACGATACAGTACTATGTGTACTATCAAAATTCCTATAAACTTCCTTACCCAGTGTCACATGTTATTACAAGAATTATACTTCCTCTGTGCTGTACATTACTTCGGGCTTTGTTCTTGTAGTTAAGGCTACAAAATAAAATAGGTATTAAGAATCGGATAATGAAAGACTTGTTCGATGTAACAAGCCTCATTTTGAAGCATTTAAACCAGCAACACAACCAATGTCAAGTGTACATTTACAAAAACATTTTGATTATAAATGAAGTTTGTGTCTTACTACTGTTGTGACTGATGACAGCTGGAAAAGCCTATGCATGTAGCACAGTGTACCACAGTTTGTGTCTAATAAACATTTTACTGTTTGTGATTTTTTTTAATAATAGCCATTTTACGTAACACCCAGTCCTCAGAATGTGGAGTTTTGCCATCCTGCACCTCTTCGAACAAGTGGGGCCTGAAAAGCATTGCAATTATAACAAGAAGTTAATTCACTATCAGATAATAAAAGTAATAGTTGATAATCCCATCTGGGTGGAATCTCTCTCTCATATGCTTAAAAAATCAACAAAGAGTTAACAGGTGTACTCCAGTGGAGCACGTCACTGAACTTGACATTCGTTTAATGCAGGTATTGCTGCAATGCTAAATTCATTATGAAATTCACTCGGCATGTTATCTGAAATTATTTTTCCTTGTACACTGTCAAGTTAAAAATTATCCAAATAAAACTTTACATCTTAACCCTTTGCTTTTGAATGTTCAATCTGACTCGTGAGACAGGATGGCATTCATTCTCACTGAAGTACACTCAAACACTTCTAAATCACATAGCCCATATACTTCCAAGTTGTCATACGAATCTCATGTTATAACCTTTAAAACAATTTTATTGAGGATCAAATAATGAAAATACAACAGTACTGTGAACAAATCCCATGAAAATGGCATCACTTAGAATTTGTTTTAAGGGGTAATAATGATTACACGGAAATTTCTGTTTCCAGTTCCATCTGTACTGAGATACCACTCATGGGGAGGCGGAAGGGACGTCTGGCACACAAGTGGTACAAAATGTGATTCTCAGATATTTTACAGAATAAAAGATTTAATAGTCAGAGGTTGACAATTCATGAACATCATGTTACCTGCAACAGCCATCTTAAAAAGGACATTAATTTCAACTTCTACTAGTCGAGGCAACTTCAAAACAGACAATACTACTTACAACATTAACAATTAATTATTCCTGCAGCACCAAAAGTGGCAGTATGAAAATAAACCATGATGGACAATCTGAATAACAAGTAAGAAAATAATCTGAAGTCTGCAAATGAAGCAATGCGTTAAAAGGAATAATTATAATCATTAATAATTTAACAGCTGTAGATCTTCGTACTTCAACCAGCCTTCAAGTACTAATAGTACTCTTAAAGACTTGTGTTGAAAGACTAGATGTCATTTAATTATCTTCATTTTTTAAAGTTCTAGCATTCAGCTACCACCAGTAAATTTTCTTCGACACAAGTAAGTTATCACTTGCTTCTGTGCAGTATCATACGACATAATTTCCTCTTTATAGAGCTCCACGCCTACAAACGACGTTGCTACACATGCTGCTATTTTCACAACGTCGGTGGCTGCTAGACTTCCACATAGCACCACTACAACACTTCACTGATACAAGAGGTCATTCTCCAAATTAACGACTTCTTGCATACTAATATACACACAGTTACTAAGATAAAATAAGTTCAACAGGTGCATTGTCAAGAATAGCAATGATGACGCACGAACGAACCCAGCCATCAAAACAATATGACAGCTGAAGAGATGATCGACTATGTACATAATGAGAAATAATCTCCTCCGGACACCTTATCCACTCTAGCAAGTACGCTACATATAAATATACCACGGCATGACAGACGGGTGTTCCACACCCTGTTACTTAAATGGCAGAATTTCATGCCACACTTTCACTTTCAAATGACCGTTCCTACCAAATATAAAGTGTGATCCCCTCTTGACGATATGCGCGACATTAGGCCATGAGAAAACTGTCATGTGGTGTATGAAAAAGCAATTAAAACATACTGTAAACATGACGGACTACTGTACAAAAGAATGTTGATGAACTACTGACTAATAATCCAGGTCTCGAGAAAATTACGGAACTATGATACAAAAGAATCTCGAACTACTAACCAAGAATCCTGGTCTTCATATCGCCACTGTAGCTAGAAGTACTGTTATATCATCCGGTTTACCACCTGCACAAAAGACACTGAAGTGAAGTGAGACCAGTCAACTGCAAAAAATAATGACAATGTAAACAGAGGCTGGGGTTACTCACCAATAGCATCGATGCCATTCTCCCGAGCGTTCTGTGCAAATGGAGACATGAAGTTGCCATCAAATGCTAGGCTTCTTGCCATGAGAGCAATGGTATTAGCAACACCCTGGATCTTTGTAGGATCCCGTTCCCCTTGAACCTTTATCAATTCTGTGATCAACAGTTGATCAGGGACGTTGTCGAACACTCCATCTGTTGCTAGAAGTATGACGTCACCATCTTCAACTTGGAAGTTTGACATATCAGCTGATTCTGGCCTAAAATTCCATTAATGATACAAAAAATTGGTTTCTATGCAAAATGTCAGATGTTTTTATTTAACAGGCTATCAAGACTTGACCTAATATATTACTTACGCCTCCGTTTGATAGACGTTCGATCAATCAACTTTTACTGTCAAATCCACCACTTCAAAACCAATAAAAAAAAGTTGATGAAATTGTTTAAACCATAAGAAAAAATGTGACCGTACTCAGATTTAAAATATAACTGCTAAACAGTTTAGAAGATTTTTTAAAAGTTGACATACCTATAAAATCATGCATCCAAACAAAACTATTTACACTTAGTGCCATTTTTTTAAAATAACACATTGGAGTCGTGGGTGTTCTGCTCATTTATGATTTTTTTCTTTTTGCTGGTTTTACAGATGTGGAATTTTTATAAAATGTCAAGCATTTTGCCTTTTGAGGCTATTTTTAATGCGTCCACGATATCTTCTATGGGGACACTAAGTGTCTTTTCAAGGGTAAACAGTTTTGTTTGAATGCATGATTTTATATATCAATACACCACACGATACACAAGATTGTTGACATACCTGTCGCTAAGCACCAAGCACAATACGCAAGTTTTCAAGACTGTTGACATACCTGTCGCTAAGCACCAAGTTACTGTGGCCTGGGGGCGGTAGCGATAACTGGAACGGCGTGTTGAAGTAATGCTGCTGTTCCTCAGACCGATGTACCACTTCTCCATGACGAACAATTACAAAGCCACTATCCCCAATATTTGCTGTGTAAACTGTGTGTGTTTCACGATTGAGCACAATAACACACGCGGTACTGCTTCCTGTAACATGTACTGCTAATTACAGCACGCTGCAATAAACTTAAATTCTGTTTATGTGCCAAGACAACACTACGTAATTTGAAAATAGTTTACTGTCGGAATTTTATAACACATTCCCACAAGTTCCACATCCTGAGAAATGTAGATTTTCTCTGATTAAATGAAATGTAGACAATAAAATACTAATTTAGCATTACACTGTTCTGAAAATTGTTTTCCAGGTTGTGACACCCTGAAGCCTTTAAGATGGTTGTCAGTACTCTGGAGGAATACACTGCCTTTAGTTTCTGGGTATGGAAGCAGCATACTCTGAAATGTTTGTAAACATGTACAAGATTCTCAACCTTTTCATGGCTCGGGGCAACATTTCCCCTTTCTTAACAACTCATGTCACAACCCAGAAGACCACAACATCAACTCTCACAGTGTAAAAAAACCCTTAAATCCCATATTTCTTAATGTCATTTACATTTTATTTTTCAGGTTTAGTCATGAAAGGGGAAGAAATGATGAGCAAATGTTTGACCGATTTGTGAACTGATGACGACGACAATGAAAATCCTAATAATAATGGCAACAGTCACAGTAATAATAAACCTTTCAATAAGTAACATGTCACGTACTTTTTCGTCAACACAAAAAGCAGATACAGACTGACTGACTAAACCATCCGTACCTAGAATTGGCTGCTTGCTCTCAAGCAACTCATAGTAGCTTCTGGCAAGAAGGCCCGCAGGCTCTGTCGTAATGAACTTCCCACTTGACACCAGTCGTTCACACGTTCGCATCAAAAATGCTGAAAACTCTCCAGGATCGATTCCATAATGCCGCCAGCCACCGACACCATCTGCCACTCCTTTAAACAGAAAAAGAATATACTGTAACACCCATCCCAGAGACCAGAATGAAAGAAAGTTAAAGCTTCTGTCAATACACAAGCCACTGGACACAAACTTCATCCGCGCTGTTTCACATGCCACTGTAGACTGGTTCAATCACATCAACACTACAACATGCTTAATGGAGATACAGAATTGTGCCAACCGGGTTCATGTTATGTAAACCGAAAAATGGTTTTTCAAATGGCCATACACTGAAGTACTAGTAGTAGTAGTTAGCAGTCATGTCTCCTTCAGGTCCTTGCCTGATCCTGATCCCCATTGGTTCGGCCGAGTCCTTGACTGACTTAGTTCCTATTTCTCAAACCTTTTCCATGCATGCAGCTTACTAACTGCCCTGGCGATGGAGGTAGCAAGGACATATGAAACATCGATACACTTCTATGAGACTACACGGTGCTTCAACCCAAAAGACAGCCATCTTTGATGACATCAGGTACCAGAGTATCTCGGCCAGTTATGTCCCTGGACACAACATCTGCCACCCTGCTACCGCTGAAGCCCTGTTTAGAAAGTGTGTGGTAGATTCTCAACAACACTTTCCAACATGTTCAGAAACCAAAGTGCTCCCAGTAATACGAAATGTTGAGTTCCTCCTGTTGATAATATGTGCAGCTGTAACGGTATTTTCAGGTTGAAAAGGACCTCTCTTTTTGAAAGCTTACAAATGGTACCAGTGCCAAAGAAGCCACAAAGTTCACGTGAGGGCG